AACTGCCCATTGACACTTTCACAACATCCATTCTTTGTATTGTTATCAGTGTCATTGTCTAAGAAATGAATCTGCTGCTGTAAGTCTTGCTTGTAAAGGAAAGTGGGGAAAGAGGTATGGTAGAGAGTGAAAGAACAAGAAAAATTAAAAAGTAATAAGGAAATCTGATGGGGGTACTCCTCTGCTTAAAGCAATTCAAAATTTTCCTGTGGCACTCAGGATTCATTCCAAATTCCTCAGCATGACTTGCAATGTGCCTTCACTAATATTTCTACCTTCATCTCTGATTTCTCCTTGTGTTCATTGCTTTTCTTCTTTTGTAAATTCTCTAAACACGTCATGCAGATGTGTGCCTTTATGGTTTTGTTGATGTGGTTAGTCTTGCTGTGATAGCCATTCTCAGCCTTTAGCTTGCACTGAATGAATGCTTCAAGTTCCAACTTAAAAGGTATCAATTTTGTTGGGATTCACCAAATTCCCTCCAAGTCTATTTAATCTCTTCCTCCTTCTCCTCACTGCTCCAGGATCAGGCCTCTAGTTGGAGAATTTAACTTAAGGTAATAGAATCTGACCCCTCACAAAACTCTGAACTAACAGAAGGTGAAATCACATCAGCTAGTCATCATCACATCACCATCTAAGAAGGAGGAGCTCTAGTTCCCAGCACGGCACCTAGCAACCAGAAGATGCTCTGTAAAGCTTTCTTGAATAAATAGCTAACTTCATAGGAACTCAGATTTAGAGGACAAAACTACTATATACGCTAAATAATAGCTAGTTAGAATCAGGGTTTTATATGTACAGGGCATTTTGCAGGTTTCAACTCACTTAGTCTTTCTCTTACCCCTATGAAATATTACCATCCCTTTTTATAACAAAGGAAACTGAGGCAAGGATAAATCAAATAACACACTGAAGCACACTGCTTTTAAGTTACAAAGTGGGGACTGAACCCACACAATTTGCTCTCACATTATGTACTCCAAATCATTCTGCTACACAGCCTTCCACCCAGTGGAGCCCCAAAGGTGTGGGCAAAGCCTGGCTTGGCTATTCACTGCATATGTGACTGGGAGAAGACTATTGAGTCTTACCAAAATCTAGTTTTTGCATTGGTGATATAAAAATAATACTATGTAATTTGCAGAGTTGCTGCAATAACTCAAATCACTAACGGACATAGAGCTTCCATCCCTTTCCTGGGTGGGTTGCATGGCAGTAATAGAGAAACTGACTTATTGCGCTAGGTTTACACTTGCCTTGATAACTTATGGCCCGTTAAAGTAATGCGGCACCAAGTCAATACTCTTATAGAGTTTCTAAAATCCACCCCATTTTCCTTCAATTCAAGTCCACAGAAAAGACACAATGCTTTTCTCCATGAGAATTCTGCAGAAGAATAAAATGAGTCATCACCCTCTGGCTGGATCTCAGCTGGGGGAAGTCTGCAACGAACTCTATGCCAATGTCTGTTCATATATGTTAAGTGGCTCCCGGTGCTCGGAAATTTTAATCGCTCCTGGGGAATACACCAGCAATGACTTTCTTATTCCTTTGAAAGAGAGGACAATAAGCGAAGTTGTCTAAATGGGAGACAAGGACGAGTGAAGGAGATGAAAAGTATTTTATTCATCCTTTATGGAGAACTAATAATAATGCCCTACAATTTTATAGCTTACACTTACAATTTACAAATCATTTTGTATGGGTGCAAAGTCTTCTTTCCAAGCTTGGTCAAGGTCAACATAATTATTGTAACTTAAAGATGAAGAAACTGAAAATCCAAGAGATGACATATTAGCAGAAACTGCTTAGCAAAAGACCCCAACTCAACACCAAAGTCTTCAGGTCTTAGTTCTAGGGTCCCTTTTACTACACTTCACTGTTGTTCCAAGTACAAGAAGGTAGAAGCAAAATAAATGTTATTATTAGAACATCTGGCATTAAAATTCCCTTTAGGATTAAATTATCTTGCAAAAAATATCTTGATTAAAAAAAATAACTTAGAGAAGTGAGGGCCTGTGGGGAAGCATGTACCAAGGTGAAGTTTAAGGGAGCCAATAACAAAGATACTTGCTTTCATCCATTTCTCTTGGTTTTTGCCATTTGCTTATTTTAGCAGTTGTATATGGAAAAAAGAAAAGTGAGTATTTTATATGGTCACCGGTAGACTGACGGCTGTAGAGATGGAAACCTGAATGTGATTGATTTCAATGGTTTTGCAAATTTATCTTCCCTCATCAATGAAATCTGCTTCTGTTTTATTTTTTTATAAAGAAAAACAACTCAAAATACACAGAGGTCCCTAGAAAAGCAGAATGCAGCCAGATGGTCCAGGTAAAATAAAGACAAGAAGAAGAGATGAGTCTGTCCAGGATTGGATTACGTGCCTCTGAAATAGATTTGTCAGTGTCCTCACTGACAGGAAGGGCCATAAGCTTCCCTAACTTAATTTCATTTCCTACTGTTTATACTAGAATGGAGTTATAGTGTAAATTTCTGTTTTCATTACAATCTTGCTCATAAGGAGTCTCTTAGCCCAGTACTCCCAATCATAAATAGTGATTCAGAAATAGTCCTGGATCTAGTGTCAAGAGATGTGGGTTTAAATCCTGCCTCTGCCATCTAGTGTGAATGTGGATGATTCACTTCATCTCTACAAGCCTCGGTTGTCATATCTATAATAATTTGGGGGTTTCAGGTAGAATTCGGATCTTTGTATATGAGTGAAAGGATGGAGTTATTAGTCTGCCAAGACATTAAGTTGATTAGCGGAAAGTTTTCTTAACCTTCTCCATATCTACCCTTTTTGGATAGAGAAAGGGCAGGAGAAAGAGTATTAAAAAATGTGTATACCAGATCAGTGATCCAGCATCAGCATCTTCTGGGATCCTGTTAGAAATACAAATCCTCAGGCCCCACCCTAGATCTACTCAATTGTGTCTTCTGGGGTTGGAGATCCACACCTGTGTTTTATCAAGCCCTCCATGTGATTCTGAGACACACTAAAGTGTGAGAACCATGGACCTAAAAGCAGGGTGAGATGAAGACAGCTTGTGCTGTCTCTGAGTTTGGGTTCCTTGCCCACTCTTTTGGCTTCATGCCTAAAGCCTAGAATAGAAGATTGTAGGCAGACACTGGAGGGAATTTATCCAGTGTTTCTCATCTAATGCTCCCTCATTATGAATCAAAGAATGTTATACCCACCTTTCATGGTTTATAAATATGCATTAAATTGTGCCATAAAGCAAATCAATGCAATAGTCTACAACACTGCTTTGGTTTCTGACTACTCGTGCTATTCTGGAGATTCTTTCATGCCCATCCTAGGGAAACTTCACTTTCTCCCATCCTCAACCCCAAAACTTACATGTGTATTCTACACACTCTGTAACTTGCCCATATATTCTTCCATTTATATTCTATACACTCTGCAATGTGCCCATATATTCTTTCTCATTTCCTATTCACCACCACCTCTCAAGATGCTAGAACCTGCCAGTGCAGCACCATCGCACTGGATCGTCTAGACAGCTGTAGGCTTTCCTGTCTTCTCAAGTAGCAATGCAATTCCAGCCTGGGTGAATTTTAGGAGCATACTCTATACCTGCAAGGGTGGTTTGACAGTACCTGTCTGCTTTCTAAGGGTCAGAGCACATTTGTTTAGGTTGGCTGAGTAGTTAGTTATCACAAATACTCCCAAACACACGGAGCTATTAGTTTCATATGCCATCTATATAGCATTTGTGGCAAATCTAGTCTCGTTTGACTGCATTTCTTTTCCGGATGGAAGTTGTTGATGACGGTAAAAACGTCCAAAACTTACCTAAAGAAAACCAAAAGTAAGACCTAAACTTGACACTCATACAACATAAATAAGAAGCAACTCTTAGAAAACAAAATCATACAAATATACAGAAATCACTGAGGATAGATGCTGGATTTGGCATTTCAGAAAGGCAATGTGTAAAAAGAAAGAAAACTGATGTTACAAATGTTCAATTTACACTGTTTATTGTTTCTGTATACTGTATGATATACTGTAGGATTATTTCTAAGAAATATTTTACAATCAAAATGTACATCAACAAATGGAAGCAATTTTACCCGAGGCTTTCAGTGTGGCCAGTTGGTCACTGAAAGGAGCAATGGCAATGCCTGGCCTCACTTTCCCAGGACCCAGGTCTGTGAGGTAGGTGCTGCGATCACCCACTCTGTTTTATAGAAAAGGACATCAGGACGCAAAGAAAATTAACTTGCCCCATGCTACAAATCACTAAATGGAGTATGTTAGTGGCCTCAGGCCTCCCAAGATAATGGGATTTAGAATTAGTTTTCCATCCTATGATTGATACAGAGATGGGGACGGGTTTAGGGAACCTGACCTCTAAGCATTCTTCCAGTTCCTGCCTTGTTCAAAGCACACATATGACTGAGCTTCTTCCTTCTTCTGCTAGTTTTATTCTAATTCCTTTCTTTAGGATCAGAGTCCTTTACTCAGGCTTGGCCTCCTCCCCTGGAGCCCACAGTCTCCAGTCCTTAACTTCAAACTCAAGATCAGCTGCTGCCACTTAGAGCAATGCGATTTTTAAAAAACGGCTCCACTTCAGATCAGATTCTCTTTGATGTCAAAGTTTGTCCAGACCAAACACAAGTCACCAAATCCCTTAGGATGCAGACTGGTGTCCTTTAGCCTCTTCCCAACAAGCCATGCAATGAACCCTCCCCTCAAGTCTGAGCACATCATGGATTTCCCTCTAAGGCAGTCAAGATTCAGCTCAAACACCGTAATTTTCAACGACCAGTGCTGTTACCCAGAGAGAGAGATTTCATCTTCTCTTTTAAAATACTGGAATACAACAGAATATGAAAGTTCAGTGCTTTGTGAGAAACCTATTCTAAAATTTTCTAATAAAAAGGTATAGAGATAAATTAAAAGGAAGACAAAGTAACCAAAAATTCAGATGCCAAAGAATTCTCACTTGCAGCATTGCTCCTACCTTTTACCGGAAGGAAAGATCAAGTGTTCCAACCGCCTCTTCACTCCTTCAGAAAAAGCAGCTTCTGCCAAGAGAATGATTAATGGCTGTTACTTACTTGCCTCTAATGATTGAGTTTCAGGCCCATCCTAAGCATTTTTAATCATTGGCTTATTTCTTAGCACTACCAGTTTCAAAACTCAGTCCAGTGTTTCACGAAATGCTGGGCAGAATGGTACCTGTACTGTCCTAGATAGTAAGACAGCTTTGTCTTTGTTCCTATTGTGCTCCAATCTCTGTGTCTCTTCCTCATTTTGAGACTTAAAATGAAGTGAACAGACAAAGAGGTGCCAGATTACAGAAGCTTTGTATTCCGTGCTATGAAGTCTCACGTTTATCTTCTGTGTGATTACCAAAGAGATTTACTGAGAAGTTTTAAGCAGGGAAGCACTTTTGAAGAAACATGCTGACAACTGTGTGAGACTGGGTTGTAGGGAGCAGAAATGGAGGCAGGGAGGCCAGTTAGAAAGCTGGCAAATATTCCAGGCTGGAGATGATGAGATTTAAACTACAATGCTGGTGGTAGGGTTGACACTGGGCAACGTATCAAAATAAGCACTCAGTAAATATTTGTGGAAAGGAGAGGAAAAGGGTGCACAAAAGAAAGGAAAGAAAGGAAGAAGAAAGGAAGAATAGAAGGATAGAAGAAAGGAATGAGGGAGGGAAGGAAGGAAGAAGGAGGGAAGGAAAGAAAGAGGAGGGAGCTGAAACCCCGTGAAATTCTCCCAGGTAGCAAAACCACATAAACTATATACAATCTTTAAAAATCACATTCTATAACAACAATTCTCAGCCAAGTGGCACATTAGAATCATTTGAGTAACCTAAAAATCCTTGAGGCCGTGACTATATTCCAAACTAATTAAATCAGAACCTCCGCAGGTGGAACCTGGGCCTCAGTATGTTCTAAATGCACCCCAATGATTCTAATGTGCAGTCAGGGCTGAAAATCAGCGCTCTGTAGACTGCCTGCCTCTGAAATCAATCTCTGCCTAATAATCAGTTGCCATGGAAATTTCTCCACCAACTGGGTGAAGGTTGTCCAACCTCCAGGTTACTTTCAAAACTAAAAATAAGTGATGCTTTTCCATCATTGTGATAATAAAATCCTTTTATGATCCACAGTGACATTAAAATACTGCAATAGGACCCATTCTTCCTCTGTATTATACCCCTTAAGGTCTGCTCACTGGACTCCAGTTGGGCTGTATCTAGCTACACACTAAACTGCATCAGGAAAGCAACATGCTAAACTAGACATCTGCTCACTTGCTGGATGGAGTCACCACTAAGGTGCATCCAGCTGTTACTTAGCTGAGTCAGCCATGGTACAGCAGAGGGAACGGGGACAATAGGCTTATAAGGATTCAGTTTGTGTATTGACTTTGCCATTTATTAGCTATTGTGACTTTGGGCAAATCACTTCACCTGCAGTAGATTCAGTTTCCCTATATATCCAATGGTGATATTAATACCTCGATCGAAATCTTTTTTCAAAGATAGAATGAGATAAGATGCATTGCTTTGTAAATTTCAGCTATCACGTGATATAATGGCTATAACAATAATAATAGATGCTTCTCTCTGTTGATATCAACAAAGAAGACAGAATTTTAAGATTAAAGGTAATTGATACAATATCTTTCCTCCATTCTACCAGGTTCCTAAATGTCAACATGCAACGTGGGCTTTCTTGTCTCTCAAATCACAGTCTTTAACAATAATTTGACTTGCCAAAATCCATGACATGTTACATTTTTCTAGGGGTTGCAGGCAATTTTCAGTCTGAGACTTGCTAGGGAGTAAGTGCCCTGATAATAAGGTTAAGTCGCACAAAAGTCCTTCTCATTAACAAATTGTACGGTCTATCTAGAGGTGTTTGTTGACCAAAATGGCTGGAACACTTATGTTCTTGTAGGAAGCATAACTAAACCATGAAATCACTGTCATTCGTTAAATGCCTCCTACACATGATCCCTGCAATTGACAAGTGCACCTCAGTGTTGTTACAGATGCGCTGTTACCTAAAAAGCAAATGAAGAAAGAAAAAAAGAGCAAAAGAATTCATTTTCGACCTAATTAAAGTCATTATAAACAGCCTCCCAGTGTTTAACCTTTTTTCCTCCAAAATCCCAATCTTTCAGCTGAATGCTCAGATCTGGGGCTTCATTGATGTTTTTCTTAATTGCCTTTCCATCACTAATAGGATTCACTTCATTATTACCTCTGCCAAAAGCTGCCTCCAACTTCAAGCCCCCATGCTGAGCCATTTACATGCCTATTTATAATGCACATTTTCACTAAATGCTAAAGTCACCCGCCTCAAAGTTTAGGAAGCTAAATTGGAGCTTGGCCCTTCTAATTGGAAAGCACTGACTTAAATTGTATTTTCTTACCTATCTATAAACTCTCTCTCCAAACTCTTCCTTCTCTGTCCATTTGTCCCCTCATTCTCTTCTTCCCTTCCCTCTTTCCTTTCTCTCCTTCCCAGATTCCTTCTCCCCCGCCTTGTTCTCTCTCCTGTCGTTTCCCATGCCCATGCTCACAATATCCTCACAGAGCCCTCTTACTATTGCAACCACATCTATGACCAGCTCACCACTATCTCTATTAAGCAGCTACTTTACCAAATGATTTTATTTAATCCCAACAAAACTCTGTGAACTAAATTTAATGATTCCAAGTTAAAGATGACGAAATTGAAGAGCAAAAGAGAAAATACAATGACAGAGAATGCCCAGTTTACATATAATCAAGGCAGGATTTGAACCCAGTCCTTAACCACTGGAGAGAACTGAATGAGACCATAGAAATCGTGTGTCCTATCATAGAAGGAGAACCACCCAGAGAGGGACAGCGCCTGTCCAGGGTCTCTTAGTGAGTCAGTGGAGGAAGAGAAGCAGAAAGCCAAACCTACAAACTCCCAATGCCTTGTTCATTCTGTCTCTCTTTCACCAAATCTCCTAGAGAGACACATTCAGTGTGAATCATCGCAGTCTAGTAGAAGAGAATGAGCTGGCAGGGGGAACAGGTCAAAGATGGGGGCAGATTATTGCCTAGTGCTGGGAGAGGGCAGTGGGTGCCAGGTGGGGCTGTGGTAAGTTCTGCTGGTACAAGGCTTTGGGACCTCTGGTCTAGTGAATCTTCTGTTTTCTCTGTGAAGAGGGAGGGCCTCTGTTGCATGTGAGCAGAGAGGTGTTGGGGTAGGGGCTTTGAGGAGAACATGGAGACATTTTTGGAAAATTGGAGACACCTGACCACTTTAGGTGTTGTCTTTGTTTGTTTGATCCCAGCCAAATGTCAACCTTTTGTTGATATCAAAACAGCAATTCTGATGGATGTTTCCTCCATGCCAGGGTATGTGTGTATGTAAGGAGGTGGGGTAGTGTCTTATGGAGCTGGATACGACGAAGGGAGGGCCAACCCCATGGAGGCAGGATTGAGGGAGGCAGCAGAGCCCCAGAGAGGCCGGGAGCTGGAGAAGAGTCCTTGGAGGCCACGTTGAACTCAGCTCCCAGGAACAGCAGGCGCTTTGGGCACAGGCAGTGGGTGGGGCTGCTGCACCTGCTATGGTGGGCTTTCAGGAGGGGCCGCTACCAAAGCTTAACTGCTCACGTGTGTGCGCTAGAAGTAGAGACAGCCAGAGAGAGCTGTGCATTGACATAGCCTCCGCCTTCAAAGAGTTTACAACTAAACTAGAGAAATAAGTAAGGCTAACACTGAAATTATGAACACGATATGGTTTAAATATTTAAAAAAATGCAATGCAAGGAGGAAGGATAAGTAAATTGTGGTCCAGCTCCTGGAACAAATATATGAAGATTTTAGAAATGGAGATTCTACCAATACTTATTGAATGCAGATTATGTGCAAGACTCTGCTTGTTACTGGTTAAATAATACTAAGCAAGATATAGTGCTGGCTTGTAAGTAATTTTAATCAAGTATGAAATGGAACACTGGATGCAGTGAGAGCATAAAGAGAGGAAACTAGCTCATTCTCACTTCCTTGATAAAGTAACATCTAAACTGAAACCAGGAGGATGAATCAGAATAAGGCAGGAGTGAGGGTTGTTCTCTATTTGGCTTCCCTGTCCCTGTCTGTTCTCTCTCCTTCTCTGGCCTGCTGCTCTGTGCCCCAGTGGATGACGTCTGCAGAAAGTAGCACTGGTGCTTCTTTGCCCTGTGGCTTCCGGTTGGAGTTTGGCCAATGGGAAATGTTGACAGGAAATAAGAGGGTTGGGGGAGAGAGACATAAGGCATTTCTACCCTGCTTCCTCCCTGCTGGGATAGAACATCTCAGTGAGTTGTGTTTCTCCATGACTACGGCTCCTGGCAGGAGGCCCCCTCCTCTAGGGTTCTAGGTTCTGGTTCTCAGCTGGCCCCAAACTAGTTGGCCCTAGGGGGATAAGAACTTCCCATCTTGTTAGTTTCTGAGCCTCTCACTATTCTTTTCCTCATTATCCTTTTCTTGTTCCCTTAAACTTGCCTAACATTCAATAACTGGTTCCTACATTAAAGCCTCTTCATTTGAACAGTTATGAGCGAATTCTGTTTCCTACTGGCAAGCTGGCTGATACACCAGATGAAGGTAGAGTGAGAGGTGGGTTGGGAAGAGGGGTAACTTTCAAGAATTATGTGTTGTTCCGTATGGAAGGAATAGAGCATGAAATCAGGTGGAGAGAGGTGAGACTAAAGAAAGATGCTGAACATAAAGGGCTTTGCATGTTGTATGACAGAGTTTCTATGCAATAATGTCGAAAAATGCTTATAGTATATTAAGCAACAAAAAAAAGAATTTTAAAATATATGCAATATAATTTCAACTATGTTATACTTAGGAAAAAGAGTATAATTAAATATATCAAAAAGACAGTGGGTTTTATAATATAGGGGATTTTTTTTATTGAGGTCATAATAGTTTATAACATTGTGAGATTTCCATTGTACGTTATTGTTTGTCCATCACCATATGTATGTGCCCCTTTACCCATAATGCCCCTCCAACCCTGTTTCCATCTAGTAACCACTAAACTGTTCTCTTTGTCTATGTGTTAGTGCATCTTCCACATATGAGTGACATCATATGGTGTTTGTCTTTCTCTGTCCGGCTTATTTTGCTTAACATCATACCCTCAAGGTCCATCCATGTTGTTGCAAATGGGCGACTTTATCTTTTTCTATGGCTGAGTAGTATTGCATTGTATATATATCACATCTTCTTTATCTATTCATCAGTCAAGTGGCACTTGGGTTGCTTCCATGTCTTGGCTATTATGAATAATGCTGCAATGAACATAGGGGTGCATAAGTCTCTTTCAATTCTTGATTTCAAGTTCTTTGGATAGATATCCAGTAGTAGGATAGCTGGGTTGTGTGGTAATTCTTTAATTTTTTTGAGAAATCTCTATGCTGTTTTATACAGGGGCTGCACAAATTTACATTCCTACCAGCAGTGTATGAGGCTTCCCTTTCCTCCATATCCTCTCCAACATTTGTTACTTTTTGTCATGGTGATTATAGCCATTCTAATGAGCGTAAGGTGATATCTAAGTGTAGTTTTGATTTACATTTTCCTGATGATTAGAGATGTTGAACATCTTTTCATGTGCCTGTTAGCCATCTATATATCTTCTTTGGAAAACTATCTGTTCATATCCTCTGCCCATTTTTTAATTGGGCTGTTTGTTTCTTTGTTGTTGAGTTATGTGAGTTCTTTATATATATTGGACCTTAACCTCTTGTTGGATATATGATTTGCAAATATTTTCTCCCAGTGGGTGGGGTGTCTTTTTGTTTTGTTTCTGGTTTCCTTTGTCTTGCAGAAGTTCTTTAGTCTGATGAAGTCCCATTTTTTTATTTTTTCTTTTGTTTCCCTTACCTGAATAGACATGGTATTCGAAAAGATCCTTCTAAGACTCATGTCAAAGAGTGTACTGCCTATCTTTTCTTCTAGTAGTTTTATGGTTTCACATCTTAACTTCAAATCTTTGGTCCATTTTGTGTACGGTGAAAGATAATGGTCTGCTTTCATTCTTCTACGTGTGGCTGTCCAGTTTTCCTAACACTGTTTACTGAAGAGATTTTCCTTTCTCTATTGTATGTTTTTAGCTCCTTTTTCAAAGATTAATTGTCTGTGGATGAGTGTTTTATTTCTGGGCTTTTAATTCTGTTCCATTGATGTGTGTCTGTTTTGGTACCAGTACCATGCTGCTTTTATTACTATAGCTTTGCAGTATATTTTGAAGTCAGGGATTGTGATGCCTCCACCTTTGTTCTTTGTTCTCAGGATTGCTTTAGATATTTGGGGTCTTTTGTTGCCCCTGTGAATTTTAGGATTCTTTGTTCTGTTTCCATAAAGAATGTCATTGGGTTTTGGTTGGGATTGCATTGAATCTGTAGATTGCCTTAGGTAGTATAGACATTTTAGCTATGTTTCTTCTTCCAATTCATGAGTATGGAATGTCTTTCTATTTCTTCATGTCATCATTGATGTCTTTCAATAATGTCTTATAGTTTTCATTGTATAAGTTTTTAATTTCCTTGGTTAAATTTATTCCTAGTTATTTTATTATTTTTGTTGCAACTGTAAACAGGATTGTATTCTTGACTTCTCTTTCTGCTAGTTATTAGTGTATAGAAATGCAACTGATTTTTGTAAGTTGATTTTGTACTCTACAACTTTCCTGTAGTTGTTGATAATTTCTAATAGTTTTCCAATGGATCCTTTAGGGTTTTTACTACATATAAAAATCATATTGTCTGCAAACAGTGAGAGTTTCACTTCTTCCATGTCAATTTGGATAACTTTTATTTCTTTTTCTTGCTTAAGTGCTCTGGCCAAAACCTCGAGTACTATGTTGAATAGGAGTGGTGAGAATGGGTGCCCTTGTCTTGTTTCTGTTCTCAGAGGGATGGCTTTCAGTTTTTCCCCACCAAGTATGATGCTGGCTGTGGGATTATCATATATGGCCTTTATTATGTTGTGGTACTTTCCTTATATATTCATTTTATTGAGAGTTTTTATTATAAATGGATGTTGAATCTTGTCAAATGCTTTTTATGTATCTATTGAGATGATTATGTGATTTTTATTCCTCATTTTGTTAATATGGTGTATCTCATTGATTGATTTGCAGATGTTGAACCATCCCTACAACCCTGGTATAAACCCCACTTGATCATGGTGTATGATCCTGTTCATGTGTTGCTGTATTTGGTTTGCCAATATTTTATTAAGGATTTTTTCATCTATGTACATCAGTGCTGTTTGCCTGTAATTTTCCTTCTTTGTGTTGTACTTGTCTGGCTTTGGGATCAGGGTAATGTTGGTCTTGTGAAATGTGTTAGGAAATGTTCCATCTTCATTTTCTTTTTTTTGTATTTAATCTCCTTTGAATGTTTGGTAGAATTCTCCAGAGATGCCATCTGGTCCTCGATTATATTCTTTGGATGTTTTTTGATTACTATTTCAATATCTTTCCTAGTGATTGGTGTATTCAGATACTCCATTTCTTGGTGCAGTCTTGGGAGGTTGCATGAGTCTAAAAATTTATCCATTTCTTCTAGATTGTCCAATTTGTTGGCATACAATTTTTCACGATATTTTCTTATAATCCTTTGTATTTCTGTGCCATCCATTGTAATTTCTCCTCTATCATTTCTTTTTGTTTTTTTCCCCTACATTGAGAATATCGTTTAATTCTATGTGGTAACATTGGTTTATAACATGATATAAATTTCAGGTGTACATCAGAATCCTCTTTCATTTCTAATTTTATTTATTTGAGCCTTCCCTCTTTATTTTTTAGTGAGTCTGTCTGAATGTTTGTCAATTTTGTTTATTTTCTAAAAGAACCAGATCTTAGTTTCATCGATCCTTTCTACTGTTTTTTTTTAATTTCAAATTCATTTATTTCGGCTCTAATTTTTATTATTTGCCTCTTTCTGTTGACTTTGGGCTTTGCTTCTTCTTTTTGTAGTTCTGTTAGGTGTAGTTTAACATTGCTTATTTGAGATTTTTCTTGTTTGTTAAGGTGGATCTGTATTGCTGTGAATTTCCCTCTTAGGACCAATTTTACTTCATCCCACATGGGTTGGTATGGTGTGTTTTAATTTTCATTTGTCTCCAAGTATTTTCTGATTTCTCCTTTAATTTCTTCTATGATCCATTGGTTGTTCAGCAGCATGTTGTGCAGTTTCCACATATTTGTCACTTTCCCAGTTTTTTTCTTGTAGTTGGCTTCTAGTTTCTTAGCATTATGGTTAGAAAAGATGCTTGATATGATTTCAGTCTTAAGCTTGTTGAGGTTTTCCTTGTTTCCCAACATATGGTCTATCTTTGAGAATGTTCCATGTGCAGTTGAGTAGAATGTATCTTCTGCTGATTGTGGATGGGGTGTTTTATATATATCTATTAATCCCATCTGGTCTACTTTTTCATTTAATTCCACTATTTCCTTGTTGACTTTCTGTCTGGATGGTCTATCCATTGAAGTAAGTGTGGTGTCAAGGTCCCCTACTATTATTGTCTTGCTATTTATATCTCTTTTTAGGTCTGTTAATAGTTGCTTCCTATACTTTGGTGCTCCTGTGTTAGGTGCATATATATTTATAAGTGCTATGCCCTCTTATAAGTATATAATATTATATACTGCCCCTCTTTGTCTCTCATTGCCTTGTTTATCTTGAAGTCTGCTTTGTCTGGTATAAGTAAGGCAACACCTGCTTTCTTTCATTGCCATTAGCATGAAGTATCACCTTCCATCCCTTCACTCTGAGCTTGTGTTTGTCTTTAGGGCTGAGATGTTTCCTGGGGGCAGCATATTATTGGATCTTGTTTTTTAATCCATCCAGCCACTCTGTGTCATTTGAATGGAGAATAATTCAATCCATTTACATTTAGAGTGATTATTAATATATGGGGCTTAATGCTGCCATTTTATCACTTGTTTTCCATTTGTTCTGTATTTCCCTTGTTTCTTCTCCCATGCATTTTGGGCTGCCAGTTCAGTTTGATGGTTTTCTATCATGGTTTTGTAAATTTTCTCTTTATTTTCACTTGTGTCTCTGTTCTGATTTTTTGTTTAGTGGTACTGTGAGGTTTGTAGAAAAGATCTCATAGATCAGATAGTCCATTTTCTGATAGCCTCTTAATTCCTTAGTCTAAACATGCCCCATCCCTTCCTCTTCTCTAAGTTATTGTTGTCACAACTTATTATTTTGTGTTGTGAGTTTGTGGTTAAAATGAAATGATTACAGTTATTTTGGGTGTTTTCCTTCCCTTTATCTTTATTGTTATAATTAAGTGTTTGCTAACCTCCTCTGATAAAGAACAGCAATGTTCTGATTTTGTCTCCCTATTTATCTCCCTGCTCAAGGCTTTGTAACTCTGTTCTCTTTTTTTATTCAGGTATGAGAGCCGTCTTGATTAATTCTTGTGGGAGGTCGATCTTGTGGTGACGGATTCCCTCAGCTTTTGTTTATCTGGGAAAGTTTTTATTTCTCCATCATATCTGAAGGTTGTTTTTGCTGGATAGAGTATTCATGGCTGAAAGATTTTATGTTTCAGAATTTTGAATATATCATTCCACTCTCTCCTAGCCTTTAAGGTTTCTGCTGAGAAATCCACTGAAAGCCTCATAGGGGTTCATTTTTAGGGTATTTTCTTCTACCTTGCTGCCCTTAATATTTTTCCTTTGTCATTGATTTTTGCCGGTTTTATTAACATACACCTTGGAGAAGGTTTTTTTGCATTAATATTGTTAGGAGTTATTTTAACTACTTTTGCTTGTAGTTCCAGCTTCGTCCCAAGGTTTGGGAAGTTCTCAGCTTATATTTCTTTGAACAAGCTCTCTGCTCCTTTCTCCCTCTCTTTTCTCTCTGGAATACCTATAATCCTTATGCTGCATTTCCTAATTGAGTCAGATATTTCTCAGAGAATTTCTTCATTTCTTTATAGTCTTAATTCTCTCCCCTTCTCCATCTGAAGCATTTCTATATTTCTGTCTTCTAACTTGCTAATTCTCTCCCCCATAATATCAGCTCTGTTATTTAAGAAATGCAGATTTTTCTTTATCTCGTTCCTTGTGCTTTTCATCTCCAACATTTCTAATTGGTTTTTCTTTATAGTTTCAATCTCTTTTGTAAAGAATTCCCTGTATTCGTTAATTTTATCCCTGATTTCATTGAACTGTCTTTCTGAGTTTTCTTGTAACTAGTTGAGTTTTTTAATGATAGCTCATTTGAATTCTCTGTCATTTAGATTATAAATTTCTGTCCCTTCACTATTGATTTCTGGGTGCTTGTCATTTTCCTTCTGCTCTGGAGTATTAATATACTACTTCGTACTATTTGATGGGGTGGATTTGTGCCTTCTCATAGTGGTAGTATCTTGGCATGGATTCCACCTGCTTCTGCTGGGGGATGGGCAGGAGCTGTGTATTTTGGGCCTGCTGCAATCCCTGGCAGCTGTACCTGTCCTTTGGGAGCTATGTTTACAGAGCTTGTCTGCATTTACCCTCTTGCTGCCACTGCTTTACAAATGCTATGCATAGGTGCTCTGGTGGAGGTCCCTTGCTCTGGCTGACCAGTGAAGCTGGTTCAGTAAGTGGGGGAAGGGGCACTTTCTTTCATTTGCATGATACCAGATGTGCTTGCTCTCTGCCCTCCTGGGCTGCTAGGCTTGGTGAATATACCCCTGAAATTGCTTAGCTTCCTCAATCTGGAGCTTTCCCATGGGCTGCGAGGCAATTTGGAGAGCAAAAGTGTTCCTGTGGAGGACTGTCCCTCCCCCTTCTCTTCTCAGAGCTGCACACGGTCCCACACTCTAGGTTGCTGCCATTAGGACAGGGAGATGAGATCCTCTTACATCCTTCCACTGCCTGCCAGTGGGTCTGGCACCTCCACCTTAAGATGTATGGCTGCATGGGTCTCTCAGGTGTCTATTGTGTTGTGTGAATGTCTTCTGTTAGTGAATGTCCTTTTCGTTATATCTTAGTGGGAAGAGTCTAAGGGAAGAGCTCCTTCTGCTATGATCCTGACATCACTCCTAGGGGATTTTTTCCTTATCTATGTAGTGAACTTTCTGAAATGGACTACATTCATTTTATGAATTTTAAAATTCACCTTTTAGATAGCCTGAACAGCTTATCACTTGTAATTCCCTTGAGAACATTGGAGGAAACACATATTCTGATTAGTTTACAGCCTTTCTCACAGCATCTGCAATTCTGTGCAAACAGGAAGCCCTAGCTCTCCAAACAAGACCAACCAACAAGCTAGGGATAGTGGAGATTTCCCAATGAAGCACAGGAGGAGGAAATTTTTCCATATAAAGGCTGACTTTGGGGAAAGAAATGTTACCCAAAAACAGGATGCTCCACTAACAATCCCAAAGCTAGGATGTCTCAGAGATTAGGCCATTTCTTGAGAAGCCTTTCCCATGTGTTGAAGAAGTTTTTGAGTAGGTTCTTAGAAGAGACAGCAGTCCAAAACACACAAATATAGCATGGTCAGACAGGAGATCTCTTATGAGATGGAGTGAAGTTAGTGAGGGCAGGCAGTGGTCATCCTAGTACAGTGCAGGAAGATGAGTTCTCAACCAAAGGACATTGACTGTTACCACCCTACTTGCAACAGTAGTAATAATAATGACCATAAGAACAAGAGTTCCATATATTGATTGTTTATTACCATTATTTCCTTGATTCAAAAAATTATATTGCTTTTTGTTTTGAAAACAACCTCAAATATATTATGATCACTATGCATATTCAATTGTGTTATTTTGTGTGTGTGTGCTTGAAAAGTTGCTATTAACTTTGAGAATATACCTTACAACCAATGACATCTAAGAACCAAGGGACTATAGTGTGCCAAAAACTATGCTAATTCCTTCACATACAACACTGCTTTTAATTCTCATGTGTGTATGATATTATTTTTATTTTATATGTGGGAAAACTGAAGCTGAGTGAGGATGGAGTATCTGCTAAAGACAACATTGTGAGGAGTGACAGAGCTGAGATTCCAACCCTGGTTCAGCTAATTCAAATATCCACACTTTAACCACTCTTAGCCATTGTCTGTAGTGGGATAGAGAGTGTGAGGCAAGAACATGACTTCAGGTCACACTTTTACTAGTCCTTCTTCTGTTCTGTTTTCATTATTCTTCTATTAACTACTTTGCAGAGTTGCTCACAAAGAGAGGTGAGTTTGTGAGTTTATGCTGATTTGAATTTTTGGTAGTTGTATCTGTCATTGTGATTAATCCATTTGTATTTTTATTTTATACATCAACATCTGTGAATTTGGTTTATATGATGCTGTCTCTGACAGAAGGAGCCACCCTCAAAGACAACAAACTCAGGTAGGTTCTTCTTAGAACCTTCCTTCCCCTGCCTCTAGTTTTGGGCATCTCTTTTGAGCTCTGCATTTCCACTTGTATCATGCCTGGGACTTGGCCTGGCCAAGAGGAGAGCCCATCCATGAATAAGGATGGATACATGAATCAAGCTATTTCTTAAGCAGACTATGAAATGTCAACACAGATGGAATCTTCTAACTCTTAGAAAAAATACATTTCCTGATAAAGGGAAAATCTGGAGAATAGCTCCCAGAGTTGTCAACATCTTTAGAGTCAGAAACCAAGAACTCAAACAGCTCCCAAACTTTTGGGAGTAGCGGCCTGGATTTATGGTGCAGCAGAGAGGGCAAAGCCTCTGATGACAATGGCAAGTGATTGAGAGCCAACACTGTCATCTTACTTCCTGTGGATTCTCCTGTCCCTCTGTCTAGGCTCTGCCTATGTGGCTAAATCCAGCCAGAGGACAGAGGCAGCCACTAACAGCCAAGAAACTGCATGCAAAAAGGACAATGCACATTGATGATGTGCCATGGGACGACCCCTCAATAATATTACTGTGTTAATAAAACATTGCAGGAAGGAATAATGTCTCACAGGGAAGAGCTGGACCAAGAGTTCTGAGAAGAGCATGGCTCATGATCAGACTTACTGGGGTTCAATTATCAGTTCTACCACAAACTCTGTCTGCGACCTTGAACATGTTTGTCCACCTGTCTGTCTTAATTTCATCATCTATAAAAGTAGATTAAGTTAAACCTACCTATTAGGGTGAATTTTATTGATAGGTGATTGTAAAAGCGTAAGTATCTGTATCAGACATATGTAAACAACAAATGTTACTTTGTTTTTAAATTCTTCTGCTTAACCCGTTTTCATTTCTTACTTGAGGAAATCAATGCCTGGAGTGAAGAGTTTTTCTGAAGTCACCAAGCTGTTTCTTGGTAAATGGTGGTGTACCAGAAAGTTCACTAAATCAGGGAGAAATGAGTCTGAGTCTCAACTTTACTCCTTAATGTGATGTTGGGAAAGTAACTTCTGTAATCCTCAGTTTCCTTGTAGATATAAGGGGGATAATGATGCTGTTCTTCCTGAATCTCTGGCATGCGGTTACTTTATGTACCACTAAGAAAATTGTCCAAGCTAAGGAGCATAATAGCAGACCCCCGCATAGATTTGGGAGGCCAAGAGTCTATGCCCTCAGTGTAAGGGAAATAATCAGAAGCATCCAGGAAGTATGCATGTCTCAATCTTAGAGATGGGGGAATCTCTCTTAAGAACTTGAACCACAAGTATTCAGGCCAGCTTTCCTTCTGGATTTGCACTCCCACTATACTCTCCCTACCTCCCAAAAAAGGCAGGACACTCTCAAGTAGAAAATTGAAAATGGGCTCAGGTTGATAGTGCCCCATGTGACTAGTGGAAGCAAACTTCTTTGGAAGAACTTCAATAGCAGCCCACAGAGATTGCAAGACATTTTAACATCCATTTGAAATTCAAAGATGTTCAAGTGTGAAAAGATATATATCTTAGAATTGATGAAATATGGCAGATATGGTAGTACCTCTCTCATATGATTATTGTAAGTATTGTAAGTTTCCCTCTGCTTTTAATGATTCATCTTAGGATAGTCCATGTGTCTTTATTTATTCACAAGGATATACTTCTGTCAGATTTTAACCTCAAATTAAGGCATCCTTGATTGTACTTGAAATGTCCCACAATAGTTTAAAAGTTCATTTTTCTTAAGAGTTAAGAAAAGTCAAAGTTTCTACTAAATTCCTCCTTATCACCTGCGGTTTCTATTCTAATCACCTGGTGTTCTTCATTATATTCTTTAGCGTTGAAATATGTTACTATGTCAACAGTCTGCTGCTCTGAAATTTAGCCCTGGACAAAGAAGGCAAAGGAATCCCAGAAGAAGCCATTTTCCATGCCTGGATTCTAATAATGAGGATGGTAATCAGCTTGCAATCTTTTATTTTTAGGTCACAGTAAGAGACTTTGTGAGGGGTTAATTCATTCAAGACCATGAGAGGGGCGTATCTACTTTTCTTATCCATAACTAATTAGGGAAAGACAAAGGGGTTTTGAGGGGGATAGCAGAGCGTTGAGGAAGAGCGAGGAATCAGCAAGTCTGCAGAAGAATGGGACGCCCATCCTTTCCACACACCACTGCCTCCTCATGATGCTATCTGCTTTCCAATTCCCTTGCCCATGTGGGTTGAGGGGACTAAGGGCAGCGTGTGAAAGCAAGACTAGAGTTTTGCAAGGAAGTCGCATGCAGAAGGGCTAATCTCAAAATCTTCCAACCTATCACATGTGACAAAACATGGAAGAGTTGTTCTGAAAGCAAGGGCCCTGGGCAGGAAGGAGACTAATGAAGAAGTTTAATGGTATAGAAATATGTATCCATCCATTTATTCATCTGGCAACAATTTATTGAGTACAATCCAAATGCCATATACTCTGCTAGGTACAGAGGAGAGGGACAAAGCCTCCATGCCTCTTGTTAGGCAGCTTTTCTGTCAGGCTACCATTACAACACACACTAGCAGAGAAAGGAAGGCCTTTCTTCTTCCCCAAATGCATGAGTATATTCCTCTTTCCTTCCTTCCTTCATTTGTTTGTCAATTCAGTAACTATTTGAACACATGCTAATGTGCAAGGCATGTGGTCAGTGTGGTCCTCAAGGAAACTTACAGTCTAGTAGATCTATACGTTTCTGTTTCCAGGATATGCTACAAGGTCTTGCTCAGAGTAGGTGCTCAACAAATCTGTCAATAATGCTGGTGACAAGAAGATGATTTAGCGATGAGACTTCTTTTCAATATATTTCACATTTAAAAAAATTGTTTGACGTGAATCTCAAGTAGCTATTAATTACCAATTTTAATATAATGGCACTAATTACTGTAGAAGGTTAGTCTAAGAAGGTGTCAAGTGATCCATTAGTGTGTAATTGTTTTTTCATAAATAAGTTGATTACTAAAGTTTTAAGAAAAAAGTTGAGCATTTTGTATAATTCCTCATACAAGATTGGCAAGAAAATTAGACATTAACTTAGATGGTGCTTAATAAAAAATATGATTTTCACAAAGTGCAGCTTCTCTTCATATTCCATCTGAAAGCTCCTTTATGAAGGACCTTGGAGATGAGTTTATGGAAGGAACAAAAGAATTAATATTTGAAGCACAGGTTCAAGGCTGTGATCTCAACTGCTACCTTTGCATTAAATACTCTGAAAGACCACTTCTTCATTCAAACTCTGAAGTTAAGCCCTTGCTTGTTCCACTGGTCAGTGTTGTTGAATGAACCAAGAAGAGGTAATAGGCGTGAAATGCGTTAAGACGTACATTATGGTTAGGATTCTTATTATTGGGATGCTATAATAATACGCACTAGAAAATGCAGGAAAGATTTTTCTCTGTCTCACATTTCTTCTCTGATTTAGGACCACACTGAAAATAATCCACATCTGGCCAGGATGTGAGGCCAATGTTTGAAATTCCTCCCTTATAGATCTTGAAAGTGGTTCCATCTTTGGGATTCCTTCTACTCAATTTTAATACTCTTGGTTGGTTACCCTAGGTGATGAAAAGAGAAGGGACTCAATCCACCTGCCATTGAACCCCAGCCCTTACACTTATTGGTTATGAGGCCATGGAAGGACTGCTTAGCTTTTCTGAGCATAGAAGCCTTGGCAGGGAAAACTACTACCTGGAGTGGTGACTGGAACATATGATTTACACACAAAAATTGTATTTCCAAACCCTCCATCATGATGAGGCAAGAAAAATATAAGATGTTTCCCTCTTCAAACTTCTTCAGGAAGGAGTAGCTTTGTTAGGGGCAATGACCCTTAGGAAAGATGTAACAAAGTGGAAAGATGTAGACAGAGGAGATCTATGACTGTGTTACCTGGGCTTAGCTTCTTAAACTCTCTGACACAGGTAAACACAGATAATTAAAATCACTGCATGCTTTCTGAATTTGGAGCATGCTGCTAGAGACTTTTCAAGTAGCTTCCTCCCTATCCACTTTCATCATTTCCCTTGCTAACAAACACCTAATTAAGTTCAGGGTGGCCATATGCCCAGCTTAAACAATCAAATTCTCCAGCCTCATTTGCAGTTTGTGACACAATTCATAATGATGAGATATAAATAAAAGTCACTCCTTGGAGCTTTGGAGAAAAGTTTCCAATTGCAGACAGACTCAGCTGATATTCATCCTTTGCTCTTTGATCTTCTCTTTCTTCTTGTCTGGAACACGGAGGCAACGATGGAGACTGAACAGCCATATCGCAACTCCAGTGTTTCTTGTTGCAGGAGAAAATTAAAATTGCCGTTTGGTTAAACCACTGTGGTTGAACTTCCATTACATAAAACTAAACGCATATTGTGAGTGCTATAAGGACTTCATGAAATAATAAAGTTCTTCTGCAGCATCTGATGTATGGTGTCAGACCCTCATTAAATGTTACTTCCCTTCTTTTTTCTTTCCAAGGTAGAAACACACAAGGACTCAGGATCAAAGCTCTGTCTGGGAGAAAGGGTGCTCTGCAGTTATCTTGATTATGAAGAAGGTGGTAACCAAGTAGGGTGCAAAGTCAGGAGATGAAAAATGGAGGCCTCACCCTCAGGAGGGAGGCAGTGCTGCATATTGTGCCATCCTTTCTGCAAATGAGGAAACTGAGACTTGGCAAGGATAAGTAACTTCACCCGGTTGAAACATCATGAAAACAGTGATCACTGAAGCTCTCTGATTCTGATGACTATATGCCCATTTCATTGTCCTTCAGCAGGGGGATAGGCAATGTCCCTGAAAAGACTTTATAATTTGACTCTCATTGTATAGTTTAGGCTTCTTTGGAACCTTCATTTTTTCAAGAAATATGGGAAAAGAAAGATAAAGAACTTGTGTCTTCTCCATACTAATCTCTTCTCAGAGTTCCCAACACACAGGGAACTATGCTCACAGTTTTCAAAGACTAAAGGTACTGAAGGCTTAGACAGAGACTCTTTGCCAGGCCATTGGTCCTCATGGTTGTGCAGGCAGCCAAGGACCTGAAGATGACGATGTAAAGCGATCCCCTAGGAAGTGTACTGCAGCGTGGGCTCTCGGCGTGGACCACTGAGACTATTTGGGCTCCAAAACACAGCTCCCTCTTTTTTACCAACTGTTTGATTAACCTTGGATACATAACTTAACCTCTCTGCGCGTCATTTCACTCAAGTGTCAAATGGATATAATACCTAATTTGTAAAGTTGATATAAAGAGTAAATTAATCTGATTAAAATGCTCAGTCCAGTGCCTACCACATAGTAGGGGCTCACTAAACCTTAGCATCGTTAGTATTATTTTTAGATTTTACTTTTCCAGTCTACCAGAAGAAGTAGGAATAGGTTTATTGTCAAAAAGATCTAACCATGTTATAAATATGCAGGAGGCAATCAAAAGTATGTGTCTACATGTTTATGGTGAAAGAGAGCTGTTGAAAACTAAGCATCTCAGCTGTTTCTGAGCTTTCTCATTAACATTTGTTTGTTCTTTTTGATTCCTTTTGTTTTCTGCTAGCAGACAAGTGGTAGCAGGTGCCAAAGTTTAAGGAAAAATATGGGAGAAAATTTTAAATGGGGTTATCTATTCATTAACTCTTTTTCTCCCTGCAAATTTTGTAGGGCTGTGAAGGAGAAGAATATAACTCAGGAAACCAATCATCTCGTGCAGAAGAGTCCTGTGTTGGGCTTCTAGAAGGCTGGGCTGAGTCTGCGCAGCACAGGCAGCTGAAGAGCTTTCCAGTGAGACCTGAGGTCATGGGTTTTAATAAACTGGGCTAGGCAGAGGGTGACCAGTTGTCCCAGTTTGCCTAGAACTTCTCTGTTTTTAGCACTGAAAGTGCCGCATCCTGGGACAGCCCTCAGCACTGGAAAACCGTGATGCCTGGTCACCCTAGTGAGAATTAAATTCAGCAGCAGGTGAGATGGTAAACCTAACTAGACATGCAAATCTGCAATCGACATTCAACTCTCATCCTTCGCCTGCCACCTGCCATCTTTATCAACCGCTAAAGGAACTAACCACAGTCCCCCAGTAGACGATCCTGCTTGGTCAGACAGAGAGAAATGACAAAGTGCAGCAGCTGTTTCTCTTCTGCTGCCCCTTACTATCTCTTCTTTGCTTGTTTGTTTGTTTGTATGTAGAATGTATTTATGGGTGTATTTTTCTCTCCGTAAGCTGAATGGTTGACTTGTGCTAGTGGCAATGGCATTAGCAGGCAGCACAAACCCTGAACAAAGACTTAGTTGATGTGGTTAACCAGTGTGTCAAGTACAAAGTAGGTATAGTATGTTCAAAGACTCTCTACATGGATCTAATAAATGAGATAACAGACAAAAAACTCATTTGTTCTAGAAAATGCAATCTAGTACATTAGAGGGAGCCCAGAAAGAAGAAATGTTTTTTAATAGTCATTTTTTTGAGCACTTAGAATGTGCCATGTGTTTAACTGTGCTCTCATTTAATCCTTCAACAACTCTGTGAGGTTGAAGTATAGACACAAGAAGAGGTTCAGGACAAGTTTGTGGATGGAGAATGTAGTTTTCAGTTCGAGCTATGCTAAAAACTTGGTGAATCACCTTGCATATGTCTTTTAGCCACAGCATAACTCTTTATATTTATCTGTAAAATAGGTCCTCCTCATTTCCCAGGGTAAGTTTCAGGATTGCATAAGAGAATAAACATGAATTTACTTTGTAAAATGCCATCCAGGTATAATCCTGTCTCCCCTAATACATACACATACACAGACACAAACACAGACATACACACAACACGTAAACACGAACACACCTAGTAAATTTTGGAAATTGTTTTAATCTTTCTAATGACCACAACCATGAAATGATTTGGGAGTGGGAACAAAGGCTTTGGTCTTTGTCAGAGTCCTGCCACCACCTGTTCAAGCCACACCAAAAAAACACACAATGTCAATACAAAGTGCCCAGCCTTCCCGGGGCAGCTTCCCTCTAGTCCTTTCTAGTCGGAAACTCCACACTCCATCCCTGCTCTATGCCACAATTTCACATCTATACATCTCAAACTTTTGACTTTGGACCATCTGTTGGAAATAGAGACACAAGTAAAATATTAGAGCTTAGAGTACTGATTAAACTCCAAGTATTTGCAAATCTTATCTAACAAAGCAAAATGGTTCAAGTTATCATTCGTATCTTGATATCTTGTGAGATTTTGTTCTTAGCCTTCAATTTCACCCAGTGATTTTGTAGTGATTCTCTTTTTTACAATGGGTAAACAGCTTGTTTTAATACATGACGATTTCTCATTTCTGCCAGATGTGATGAGATTTTTGTGTATCAGAGCAGGCCAAAGGATGGCAACTTCTAGGCAATTTGGCATTTGAAGAATGGCTTCCATACTTGATTTGAAAAGCTTTGCATTTAAAACAAACTGAAATGCTTTTTGATATGGACTCATACCAGCAAGTGCTATACTCAAGTCTACTTCAAATGAAAAAGAATCTGCAAAGTCCTTACTTATTTACATTAAATGCAAAATATTAGTTTTTAAAATCTACTTGTTTTCTAAAAAGCCATCTGAAGTTCCTAGCATCCCGTTAGCAACAGATGGAGTGTTTTGCCAATGACAAAACAAGCCCAAATAATTGAAAGTTTGATGATATTGAAAACTAAGATCTCAGGAAGTCTGAGGGACTTTGGAGTTAGACACACATACTCTCTTATCTGTTTAAGTCTTGAGATACACACCCCAAAATCACAATGCTATGTTGCTCCAAAAGTTTCCTAATATCTTTAGTGCATTGTTTAATAGAAGTGAGAGTCAAACTACTCTGGAGTCGATCATTGGAAGGAAGCGTGGTTGTTCCTTCACAAGTGTTTAACAAATCTCAGAGGGCTTAGAAAAGTCCGAGAGTACACACACTGTAAGCACAGCTCTCCCCTACATCTAGAATGGATTGTTCCCTAGGACCTACTCTCACTGCCTCTTTCCCCAAGTCCTCATCGTTTAGGATCTTGTATCAGGGACTTACAGAGTCTCCTGCTTGAAAAGGACCTTAAAAGTTATCTAGTTCAATTTCCTTTTCAGAGCTTCAATTCCTTCTATAGCCTATGGGTCACGTGGTCCTCTGGCTAGGAACTAAAGACCATCCATGAATGAGTATTCATCACCTTCAGGGCAGCCTTGTTCTTTGGATGGTTGTCACTCAGAGCATTCTCTATCGTACAGGGCTTTCATTTGTTCCTTTCTAGATTCCTTTCTTCCTCTTTTCCTTCTTCCTCTGTTTTTCCTTATCTCCATGCTCTTTTCCTTTCTTTCATCTCCTCACTTCTCCTCTCCTCTCCTATTTTTTTCTCTCTTTCTTCCCAAAAATAATAACCAAGCACCCACCACGTGCCGAGTATGTGCTAAAATCTGAGACCACAGAGCTAGGATTAGGATTATGCTTAGGGTTTCTGCTATCAACTATCTCTCTCTGTGGAGATAACAGGAAATATAATACTGGGAAGTGTGTGTGTTGGCTTGGAGAAGAAACAAGGTGCTATGGGAATATGAAAACAGGGCATTTGGACACTAAGGTTCAAAGATCTTAAACCACTCACTCAAGTATGTGACTGCTGGTGCTGGAGTTGAGCCTAAAATTTGAGTGACACTGGTTGGTCCAGTGGCATAATCATTAAGTTCACATGCTCCAGTTCAGTGACCTGGGGTTCGCGGGTTCAGATCCGGGGCACAGACATAGCACTATTCATCAAGCCACACTGTGGCAATGTCCCACTTACAAAACAGAGGAAGATTGGCACAGATATCAGCTCAGCAACAATCTTCCTCAAGTAAAAAGGAAAACGTTGGGAAAAGATGTTAGTTCATGGCCAATATTCCTCACACACACACAAAAAATTGGGTGACAGAAGATTAGACCCACATTACCATGACAGCTTCCCTCCCCTTTTGATACAAATGAAATGAGGGAAAATAATTCTAGTCTCTTAAAATAACATTACAAAAATAAAGAAACAAAACAAGAGTGTCCACACACAATTAACGGTCAGTAAGAATAGTTCAATGTCAGAAAATGATTGATGTAATTCACTGCATTAAAACACATGAGTATCTCAATAGATTTAGGAAAAAACTGATAAAACTCAACATCTCTATCTAATTAAACATAAAATATCTCTGGGCGAATTAGTGGGGAACTTACTTGAATTGCTAATGGTTACCTCCTAATAACAAACAGAAAGCAATCCACTTACATATGAAAATGTGGCACGCTCCCTTCAAGGTTAGAGACATGACACACATTCTACATACTATTAGTGTTGTTCAGGGTGCACCGAGTGGTGCGCAAGTCAGTAACAGAAACACAAGAAATAAGAAATTTAAATACTGGAAAGGAAGAGTCAAAGGTATAATTAGATACAGATGATAGTATGATGTATATAGGATGTCAAAGAGAATCAACAGAAAAACTGCTGAAACTAATTAGAGAATGTAAACAAAATTTCTGGCTACACATTTAATATGCGGTTGAGAGTGTCCCTCTACGCCAATAGCCAACCATAAAATGCAAAAGAAAATTAGAGCGCTTACGACATTGCAAGTATGCTCTAAAGTGTCTAAGAATTCAACTCATAAACAATAGACAATCACTTTAAGAATGTTAAAAAAATGTGTTGTTCTAATAAAAGACTTAGAAGGAGACCCAAATAAATACTCTCACGGTACATATGGATATAACTTCTCAACCTGGTGAAGAGGTAAATCTACCCCCCACCCAATTTAATCGATTAATTCAATGCAATTTTGTTCAGAATTCCAGCGGGGTTTTTGAAGGACTGTGGAAAAATGTCTTCAAAGTATAGCAAAAACTAAGATTATATTGAAAAATAAGAACAAAATTGGGGATTCACCTTAGCACATTAAGAAATATTATAGAACACTTCTGCTTCCAAGGATGATGGAGTAATAGGGATTGGACTTATTCTCCTGTCTGAAACAACTAAAAAGAGAGAGAGAAAAAATATGAAACAAGGGTTTTCAGATCTCGGCCATCAGGCAGTGTAGGACCAGGATCTCTGGGAGGTGGGAAACATAGTGAGCCTTGTGGTTGCCTCCGCATTCTTCCTGGAGAGAGCTTCCAGACCACAGCGCTAAGAAGGGGAATCCAGGCGGAGCCTGTGGACTCCCTGAGCTGAGGAGCCAAAGCTAGGATTCCGGGGTGCCAAAGCGGCTAGAGTTTTCAGCACATACTCCTGGAGAGGAAAGAGCTGCCCAGGGAGAGCACCAGAGATCTGAGAAGGGTGCCCCAGAGTCTTGAGCTGAGTTTTGGTAAGAACTCAAATGCCTGTAAGGAAATTACAGAATGCTGGGAAAGAACCACCAGGAAGGCTTAGACCATCCTGCAGCTTAATGGTGATGATGATGGAATAGCTACCATCCTGGGGCTCACATGGGAACAAGAACAGGCATCATACATCAGTGGGGCAGCAATCGATTATTTAATAAAATGTGTTAGGAAGAGGCCGGCCCGTGGCCTAGTGTTTAAGTTCGTGCGCTCCGCTTCTGAGGCCCCTGGGTTTCAGCGGGTTGGATCCTGGGCATTGACCTAGCACCGCTCATCAAGCCATGCTTAGGTGGCATCCCACATAGCATGACTAGAAGGGCCTATAACTGGAATGTATATAACTATGTACTAGGGGACTTTGAGGAGAAGAAGAAGATTGGCAACAGATGTTAGCTCCGTCCAATCTTTATAAAAAAAAATAATGTGTTAGGAAAAAGGAAGTTGAGCCCTTTCTTAAGCCATATATGGTAAATTTCAAATGGATTCAAAGTAACACACGTAAGGTTCAAGAAAACGCCTAATTGTCTTTATGGAATTATGGTTTGAAGAAGTTCTTAAACAAAATTTTAAAAAAATGAAAACAAAAACACCTAAGTTTAAAGAAAATTTCTCTGGATTTGATTTAAAGTAAAGTTCCCCTTTGGGTGAAGAACATCGTAGACAAATAAGAGACTAGACTGGTGAAAATATTTCAATGGCCTAAACTTAGTAGAAATAATACTCAGAATATAAAGCACCTCCGACAAATCAGGAAAACTAATGGCTAATGAATATGAGTTGAGATTTTCGATAACAGTAATAGTAAAATAAATGCAGTTTTTTACAATGGCCAACACACAATACATATTTTATTTTTTAATTCTAAATTTATTTAAGCAATAAATGTATATTTTCAAATATCTTAAAGACATAAACAGATATTTACTATATAGTGAAAATCCTTCCTTCCCCTCTGGTCCCACAGCTACCCGCTTCCCCTGCCTCCACCTCCTGGGATGGTAGTCATTAATTTCTTATATCTCCTTCCAGAAACATTTTATGTATTATACCAGCAAATGCAAACACTATTTCCTCTAATTTTAATTTAACAATACCTCTTGAATATCTTTCCGTATCAGTACTCATAAAGCTTCCTTATCTTGTGTTTAAAAATTGTTTCTAGTTGCTACTTGTATGGATTGGCCACAGAATAATTGAATCTTTCCCAGACAGGATTTTTTTTTCTCAATAAAGAACTGGTTAATTAAATTATGTATATTTATATAACAAAATGTCATGACTCTGTTAAAAAGACTAAGGAGTTTTTCCTCACAGAAGCTCTCCTTTACTTAGCAAGTGGCTTCATGTATTATATTTGAGTGGTGGCCTCTCTCTGACACTCTTCAATGCTTTACTGTCACATATAATGCTACACCAAAATATAAGGTGTATATACTCCTACTTTGGAATATATTCATAAGGGATATATTCCTACTTTGCTCCTGATATGTCCCCCAACGACTTAGACATTGCCTGGTCAATGGTAGGTTCCCCATAAATAGTTTTAAGTGAATGTCCTGGTACTACAGCAATTCACAATGTATCAGTGTATCTGAAGGTTGAATTGCTACGAGTACAAGGGCTGGATCAAATGATACCCAATATTGCCATTTTGAAAGGTATTGTCCAACTGCCTGCATACAGGTAGTGTTAAACTTAACTACTACCAACAATGAATGAGACTGTTCTTTCAACATAGGCTTAGAAACAAAAAATATCAGGTGTTTTGTGAATCTGATAGAAAATATATGTGCATGTATATATATATAAAAACAGCTATGACTTATCACTTTACAGTCACTATATGAGTAAAAATTTAAACACTGTATAATGTAAATGTGAGAAA